GTTAAGACCTTTTTATTTAAAACTTATTTTAATTGCTAAATTATTGTATTTATTAGGATTTTAAAATTAGCCGAGAATGCACCGGGGGGGGGGTTAATTTTTTTTTTCTTTTAAATTGTTATATTGTTATTGTTTATGTATGTTTTTGTGTATTTTTTGTGAGCCGCCCCGAGGCTCTGTTTGCAATGGGGGCGGCATACAAATGTTTTAAATAAATAAAATAAATAAATTATATCTGATAGATAAATAAATGCATGAAAATATTACAATAATTGTACATGGTGCTTTATAGAGCAAGCAAACAAAAAGTCAGGTCCATGACCCCAAGAGTAACTTAACATAGGGGAAGCATTACAAATACCTTGTCAGTGTGAAGCTTTCTTTGCTGAGTATCCTACGCTGGTGTGGTGAAGTACTGTTAAAAGACAGTATAAGAGCTAGTGGCCTGGAGGCAACAGATTATTCAGCAAGCGGTCAAGCTGGGGTGGACACTCTGGAGCTGAACAACAAAGTGCTCAAATACAGCCCCAGCAAAAATCCGCAGTTCCATAAGCTCAGATGGGGCCCTCTTTATTCTTTGTGTATCTAGATTTCTGCTAAGTTGCGACTTGTGGTTCTGTCTTCTGGCCATCTAAAGTGGTGGTGATACGGTAAGATATTATTTATTTATTTATTTATTTATTTATTTATTTAGCAAATTTCTATGCTGCCCCATTCGCCAAAGCCTCGGGGCGGCTCACAAATCTATCAATTAAAATATTATACAATAAAAATATAAAACAAGTTAACAATATAAAATAAGTCGCCCTGGCTGAAGAATAAAAAATAAATAGTATTAACAGTTAAAATGACGTTTGAATAAAAAGGTCTTCGCCTGGCACCGAAAAACAAGTAACGACGGCGCCAGGCGGACCTCTCTGGGGAGCGCATTCCATAGATTGGGTGCCACCGCAGAGTAAGCCCTCCTCCGAGTACTTACCCTCCTAATTTCCTTCACGGAGGGCTCCCAGAGAAGGGCCTCTCCCGCAGATCTCAGGGGGCGGGCAGGCATATATGGACGTAAGCGCTCCTTCAGGTAACCTGAGCCAGCAATAATTCCTGCCAACAAGCTGACAGAGTGACTGAGGTCCCTGGACTTCCTTTTTAGTCTCTGGTTGGTGACATCAATAGTTTACATACATGCTATCAACATACTACTGCATTAATGCAATACTCTACACCAAGTTACATGTGATAGTTTTGGGAGCATTTTTCCCATTATCCTAGAATCCTAGAATGTTAGAGCTGGAAGGGGCCAGAAGCCCATCAGGTCCAACCTCCTGCTCAGTGCAGGACCATCCCTCTCAGATGGCTGTCCAGTTGCATCTAGAATGCCTTCAGTGGGGGAGAGCCCACAGCCTCTCTAAGTAATTGGTTCCATTGCCTTATTGTTCTAACAGTCAGAAGTTCTTCCTGATTTTCAGCCAGAACCTGGCTTCCTGTGACTTGAGCCCATTATAGCATGTCTTGCACTCTGGGGTGATCGAGAAGAGATCCTGGTATTTCTCTCTGTGACACCCTTTCAAATACCTGTAGAGTGCTATCTTATCTTCCCTCAGGCTTCTCTTCTCAAGGCTAAACATGCCCAGTTCTTTCAGTATCTCCTCAAAGGGCTTTGTTGCCAGTCTGTGGATCATCCTTGTTATCCTGCTCTGAATGCTTTCCAGCTTGTCTGCATCTTAAACTGTGGTGCTCAGAAATGGACACAGTATATTGGTCTATCAGTGTTTTAAATTATATGCCTACAAGTAAGTGCCTTATTTTCAGAATAAAAAGAATTACAGCACCTGATGTAAGAGTTCAGTTCTATTCTTGCTACATTAACACACCGTAATTGCACCCATGATGCAATACTACAGAACTTCACTAGTGTGGTATCAACAATATTACAGGCAAATATACAGACACAAATATTTAAGATTGTTAGGTTTGAAAGTGAGGTTTTGCTATAATTTTAAGAGCAAATCATATTCTTTGATTAGACATCCTCCTACCTCCAGTAATTTCACTGGAGTCTTGTTTCTGCATGTAAATTTAGACAAAAAATAAGGAAAGGGGTTTCTTTGCCCACATTTCTTCATATGAAAATCACTGCTTGAAATGCAGCATGTTAAGTAGACAGACACCCATATGAGCAAAATAACTATGTTAACTGCAACAATCCTGCTCAATCCATACTCCTTTCTTGGAATTTGAGACTAAATATGGAAATAGTTGACTACTTATTGGTTTGGACCTGAGCTGGCATTCTGCCAATGGCTAAACACAACAATGGCAAACTACATAACACTCAAGGAAAACCTTTTCCTTTCTTCAGTTGTCCTAACCTCCTGAGTGATACATAAACTGAACACCTGCAGATTTCAAGAAGATCATGATCTAATTCTCAAGCCAACTTTGCAGAACTATATGTTTTTTTTTAATCATTAGTTGTTACATAAATGCATGTACTTGGTATTTATCTAATAAGATTCTTCCTGGCAAAATGGCTGAATATTAAGCATAATGCAAAACTCCAATGAACGAAATCCACAATTACAACTCGCTGAGATTTCAATTAGCAGAAGCTATCAAGACTACAACTGCAGTGTAAAATTAACTGTAGGCATTCAAAATTAGTTTATATTACACTTTGCATATTATGGGCACCCAGAACTAAAGCCAAATACCTGTCCCAGAAGGATAGCACACTTCATTGCAGCTGCTTAGTTCTATGAAAATTCTTGAAATGGTGGAATGACGTTCCTATCAATAACAGTCATAATGCAATAAAAGTAAACTGGTAAAATCTATGGATTTGCTCCTAGCCAAAAAAGGCAAAAACAATTTATTGATAAACTGAAGCAATATTTATTTATTTGTTTGTTTTATTTAAAACATTTTTATGCCACCCCCATCACAATGAAGCCTCGGGGCGGCTCACAACAGAAACGAAATACATAAATAAATAACAATATAACAATAAAAAATATTTAAAAACCCTCCGGTGCATCTCAGCTAAAAATTTAAAATCCTATAAATACAAATAATTTAACAATTAAAATAAGTTTTAAATAAAAAGGTCTTAGCCTGGCGCTGAAAAACAAATAACAACGGTGCCAGGCGGACCTCTCTGGGGAGCGCATTCCATAGATGGGGCGCCACCGCAGAGAAAGCCCTCCTCCGGGTACTCACCCTCCTAATATCATTCACAGAGGGTTCCCAGAGAAGGGCATCTGTTGCTGATCTCAAGGGGCGGGAGGGCAAATATGGACACAAGCATTCCTTTAGATATCCAGGTCCCAAGCCGTTTAGAGCTTTATAGGTCATAACCAACACCTTGAATTGAGCCCGGACTTCAATCGGGAGCCAGTGGAGCTGACGGAGAACTGGGGTTATATGAGAACAATGCCCAGTCCCCATCAGCAACCTGGCAGCTCTATTCTGCACCAATTGAAGTATGCGGACCAGACAGTCGTTCTCCAGGAAGGGACGCAGCTGATGTATCAGCCGAAGCTGAAGGAAGGCGCTCCTCGCCACCACCGTCACCTGAGCTTCTAGAGACAGCTCAGGGTCGAGGAGCACTCCTAAGCTGTGAACCCTGTCCCTCAGAGGGAGTGCAACCCCATTTAGGACAAGGCCCAAGTCCTCCATCCTGAGGCCCGAGCCACCCACCAACAGGACCTCCGTCTTGTCTGGATTGAGCTTCAGTTTATTGGCCCTCATCCAGCCCATTACCTCGGCCAGGCACCGGTTCAGCACAGCCACTGCCTCACCTGGATTGGTAGAAAACGAGGGGTAGAGCTGGGTATCATCAGCGTAGTGATGGTTCCGCAGCCCACACCTCCTGATGATCTCTCCCAGCGGTTTCATGTAATAGCAAAGAGGACAAAATGGACCCCTGCAGAACTCCATGGCATAACTGCCATGGCGCAGAGCCATAGTCCCCCAGCACCACCTTCTGAAATCGGCCGTTGAGATAGGAGCGGAACCACCGCCACGCGGTGCCTCCAACTCCCAATTCCGCTAGCATATTCAGAAGGATACCATGGTCTATGGTATCAAAAGCCGCTGAGAGGTCCAGGAGAACTAACAGGGATGCACTCCCCCTGTCTCTCTCCCTGCAAAGGTCATCATACAGGGCGACCAAGGCAGATTCAGTGCCATACCTGGGTCTGAAGCTGGACTGAAATGGGTCCAGATAATCAGTTTCATTCAAGAGTGCTTGGAGTTTTCCCGCTACCACCCACTCTAGCACCTTGCCCAGGAATGGGATGTTGGCCACCGGTCTATAATTGGCGGCCACCTCTGGATCCAGGGATGCCTTCTTTAGGACTGGCTGGACTACCGCATCCTTTAAAGGGGTAGGTACCCGGCCGTCTCTTAAAGAGGCGTTGACCACCTCCAGGATCCAGGTTCCAATCCCGTCCTTGGTTTTCTTAAGTAGCCAAGATGTGCATGAGTCTAGTAAGCAAGCGGTAGGGTGCACTTGTCCAAGCACCTTGTCCACATCATCAGGCCGCAACAACTGAAATTTATCCATTAATTGTGGACTCAACAGCATTGATGGCGTCTCCCCAGTAGAATCTGGTTCAATAGTAGAGTCAAGCTCGTGGCGAATCTGAGCGATTTTCTCCCTGAAATGCTTGGCAAAGTCATCACAGCGGGCCTTCAAGGGTGGCACAAGATCTTTCTTTGGGCCCGGATGTACCAGCCCCTGCACCACCCGAAAGAGCTCCACCAGATGGTATTGTGAGGAGGCAATGGAAACAGAGAAGAATTTCTTCTTCGCCGTCCTCACCGCCACAAAAAGTACATAAAATAAAAAGTACATAAATTGCTTCTCCTTCTGGCAAAAACAATATCTGACAGGTGACTTTGGGGTGATTAACATTTAAACATAAAAAACAAAATGTTATTTAACATTTCAGCACAAAGGTTATTTCCATAAAAACTGAATCAAGTTATAAGGTTGTCCTTACCAGTCTTTCTGATGAAGCTGTTCCTTATAGAACAGGACATGCTTGAGCACTTCATCTATTTCAGAGCAGCTGTTATGTACACAAATCCAAACAAGGAGGCTATGCCAAAGAAATGGCTTAATTTTGAACTGCTTTTGTTCAGGATTTAATTCAGCTGCTGCACTGGTACTCATGGGTGACTAGAAAAAATAAGTTAAATCCATTAATAAGACCTTCTGAATACAAAGTTAATTGGTAATTTTCTGCATAGACCTGCATATCAATTTTTTTCCATCATAATATTTGACTCAATCAGCACTATATTTCCATGAAGAGTACAACTAATTTCGTTCTCCCAGTGCATTAAAAACAGCTCTAGGACACAGTCAAAAGAATAAAATGTTTTTATTTGCTGCTTTTTATTATGGTTTTCTGGTGTGTTCATTTTTATTGGATTGTATTCTGTTTTAAATAATTTATTGGCCACACAGACCTGGAATCTGATTTGATGGGTGGCAGTAGAGAAACATTATAAATGAAGTAACAAATGGACTACAGCTCTTATTTGAATGTTTGTTCACTTATTTTAATCTTTATATACCTCCCCCTTTCCATAGGCATCTGTTTATATTGTACAGAGACACGCAACATGAAGACATTGTACCGAATCAAGCAGCTGAATGCTGTAATCCAAGAGATGTGTCTCAGGATCCTTTACAATTTTGTGTTCAGTGTTGAGGCACAGCTCTCGTAGCCTATCATGCTTCCTTGCTTTTCTCAGGGCCAGTAAGCAGAATGAAGTTCTGAGGGATGGGGAATGGTGGGCAAAGTGCTGAAGGACAGAACCCTGTGTGATGTGCCACCTGGCCTGCACCCCTTAAGCCCCCCTGTTGCCCTGAGGTGCAGTTACAGGATGCTATCCCATCACTAATGTCAGTGGGATTCAACTACCTGTTCGATTGCCTTCTGTACACGCAATGGGCAGCATAAGCTTGTCCTTTGCCTAAGGCAGCAATGCTAAGGCCCTAGCTCCTCCAGCAGTACTGTAGCCCAGACAACTACCTGGGGTTGAGGGCCATCCTAGATGCTCATGCTACGGTTGCAGCATCACACTTTCTCATATCCTCCATAATGGATAAGATTCCCTTCTCCATCTTTAACAAAGAAGGTGAGACAAACCTCCACATGCAAATCTTTTAATGAAGTAGCAGAATCATGCTGTATTGATTTTTATTATAAACCAGTCTGGATATTATTTTATTTGAAAAATAAGACACACAGTATAAAAATAAATGAAACTAATGTAAATTGCAATCACACACTTAAAAAGACATGCATCCAGTCTTTCATATGAGGTCTGGCCTAGCCATCTACATCTTCCATATGCTGGCCAGATACTGATAGGCTGTTTATCTTTGTTGTATACTTTTTATGATGCTGCTCCAAAAGCAGGGTCAGATAGGATCTGGGAAGATAAATTCTTTCATCACTTCATTACCACAGTCCAACATATGCAAGGCTGTTACTGAACATAATGCCCAAATTTATAATTTGGCTCATTAAGTTATTGCCTTAACTGGAGACACAAAAAGAATGTCATAACAACGATGCCTACTAGGCAATAAGATGCCGCTGAATCGACTGAGAAAAGAAACCATGGAGGAAGAAAAGGTGCTTTGGCGTTGATACAAAAGTTTCTTCCTTGTCCTGTCAAATTCCTTCACAAATGCCCTGAAATTTATAAGATTGGTACATGTATTCTGTATTAGAGGGTTTAACAGAGTAGTCATGCTTAGCATACAAAGGAAAGTCTTTGCAAAGGTAGCTACGTCTGATGATTTTGCATGTAGTCAGTCCTCAGCAATGCTGCAAGTAAATTATAGATGATATCCACCTACACATTTCAGCTGCACATTACAGCCTCCCCTTATATGCCTATTTTTATTTTCCTTATTTCAACAACTGCCATTCTTTGGTATAGCTCTGAATCTCTCCATAAAAAGTAACAGAGCAGAAAAAGATTTCAGAAACATTATAGGAGAGACAGCTAAAAATATCAGGGTGGTGATTCAATTACTATTAATGGAGCTTAGTCTCCATAATATATTTAATTGAGCTGTGCAATAAATTATTCCTCAAGGTTTTCTAAATTGAGGAGTACATCTCTATAGCACCCTCCAGCAAACCAGGATGAGTGAAAGATCTCTAACTGGAGCCCTGGGTAATTTAAAACAAAATCAATTCCAGTCCATATCCTGCCCCTTGAGCTTTTCTTTCCAGCTCATGCTGAAATATGCAGGAGAGTTGCTACAGCCCTTGAGCTGCATTAACTCAAGCATGGTGGGGCTAAGGGAGAACTCAAGGGGCTGAAAAGCAGGAGATAGTAGAGCACAAGCTGCCCCATTAGCATTCATTCTCTGCTCTCTGGGTAGCCCCACTGTGACCAAAAGGCAAGTATTCAGGGCAGAGCCTAGAGCAGGTTGGCCTTTACAAATGGAAAAGCCAGCCTCAAAGCCTGTCAGTGCTTTCTTGTTCAATATCCTATATGCCTGCTACTCTGCCTTTATAACCATTTCCTTCAATTTGATCTATTTGCATTTCTCTCTATATTCATGTGTGCAGGGTCCAGACGTGGAGGGTGGAAAGTACACTTGGAGATCCAGGTAGTGGGAGGCAGTCCAGGCTGCAGCCCATTACCATACGGTGGGAAAATTGAGGTGAAACTGTAGATTATGCTTGGGAATATATATGGAAATTGATTTCCTTTTATCTACAGAACTGTTTGTTCAGATCTTGTGAAATCGGCTGGAGCCAAGCAGAAGCAGTGAAAGAGAGTAACAAGCAGCTCTCTAAACAATGGGCAAGGGAGATGCCCCAGAAGTTCACAAGCCGGGCATGCTAGTGGTGGCTTTTTTCTAGTTTATTTTTCTTGGCATCTGATATTCAGAGGGAAACTGCATTTGAAAATGGAGGTTAATTTAGCTAAGCTTCAGTAAGCAACCCATCTTCCATACATTTGTCTAAATCCTATTAAAGGGATCTAACCTACTACCCCCACTCCCCCACACAGTGAATTCCCTATGTTAATTATCTGCTTAACTTGTTAAGATGCTGATGCTGATGACATTTACGCCCTGCCTTTCTTGCGCTTTCAAGGTAAAAGGATCGTGACCCATTATTATGACACCTGCTTTGTATACAAAAGGTCCTAGGTTTGGATTAAAGGGTGACAGTATCAGGTGATAGGAAAAATTCTGCTCAAGCCCCTAGAGAGCTGATCCCAGGCAGAATACCAGCTGGGTTGAATGGACAAATAGACTAGGATGGTACAAGGCAGCTTTCTATATTCCCAATGTGTGAAGCACTGCTTTGTGAGTCTTCCAGAATTGTCTGGGAGAGAAGCAATTCAAAGCATGGCCTACCATGGCAAATCTCATATCTGGAGCAGCAGTAGCCAGTGATCAGTGGCCGGGAGCATCAGTTCAGAGAGGCAAAGGGATGCAACAGTCCTCCTGATTCTAGCCAGAAGGGCATTCTGAGGTCAACAGCTACACTGCTGCACCTGCCCCACAAATCTCTACGTTCAGTTTGTAGACACAAAGAAGGCCTGGAGGCGAGTAAATTAAACCCAGGAGTGAGGATGGCCTCAAGTTTCACTTGCACTGTGGGAGACCTGCCACAGAAGGCAAAGAGGTTGTAACAGGCTGCTCTGCACCAAAGTAGGTCCATCCTGAGAGCAGCAGAGTAGTCCAAACTGATCTAGAGTTCTAAAACTTGATCAGGCTTGATTATTTATCTGATGAAGCAGCCTCCACAGACCCCCTCTTCCTGCTTTCCCACCCTAGTGCACTTCAGATGTCCCAGGTGTCCATTTTAATCAGCCCCAGCCTACACATGAACTGCAAACATCTGGAGGGCACCAGGTTGGATAAGACTGTTCCAGAGTGTTCACCAATATTTTCAAGGTGAAAGAATATCATTCTAGGACAAGTTATATGAAATTGTCAGTGTTATGATAAGGATAGTAATGCCATAAAATATGTGATAATAATATTCTTAAGAGAGCTTTACTGTATCTGTACATATTTTTCTCCTGTTCATATATTTATGTGAGTAGAGGGGGGGCAGGTTATACCTCATTCTACATACAGTTTTCTTGGACTTCATGATGCATCTAGAATATTAGAATATAGTACTCATGTATTGGTGTGGTTTACTTCCCAGGATCTTCTACTACTTTGCACAGGTTTCTAAATGCACTGAACAACAAAGAGCACACACAAGCAAAGTGCACAAGTGTGTTGTACTGGGCCAGGCTATGCTTGCACCTTACACCCAGAAACTGCTGTACTGCTTAGTTCCTCTCCAGAAAAAAAACCCCTGAGTGGATAGCAGACTGTTGATATCAGCAGCATGCACTGCAGCAGTAAGTAGTTTCTCTACTTTAAAAAAAAATGCTGGCCACCACTCTTCAAGAAGGTGATTTTTTAAAATGAGAAATTATTTGTTGAGACAGTGCCAGACACTCAAGAGTGTGCCTCTGTCTTCCACTCAGCGGCTAGGTTCACATGGCACAACAAACTACACTGTAACCCAGTGAAGCAGAGATGATAATTGCTCAAAAGTGTCCAAGCAGCACTTGGAGTCAGCTGTCAGAAGCTCCCACAGCTGGTCCCAGCAAAGGAAAGCTGCTCAGGAACCCCCTCTACCAGGACTGGCAGCAGTGGGATGAACCACATTCTGCCCAATCTGCTCAGGAAGCCAAGCTCACCCTGTGATCACAGCAGTGGGTGGGGGCAGCAAATTCTCCTGGGCCTCCCCTGGAAGAGACCCAAGATAATGCACTGCGCCTCCTCTGCTGCCATCTATATCAGTCCACAATCATAGCAGTGTGTGAGGAATTTGTTTTAACCTTGGACTGCAAAGAAATTAAATCAGTCAATCCTAAAGGAGATCAACCCTGACAGTTCTTTACAAGGACAGCTACTGAAGCTAAAGGTCAAATACTTTGGCCACCTAATGAGAAAGAAGGACTCATTGGGAAAGACCCTGATGCTGGGAACAATTGAAGGTAAAAGAAGGGATGGCAGAGGTCGAAGTGGCTGGATGGGGTCACTGGGGAGGTGGGTGTGGGATTGGGAGGACTCTGGGGGATGGTGGAGGACAGGAGAACCTGGAGGAATGTTGGCCATGGGGCCACGAAGAGTTGGACATGACTTTGCAACTAAAACAAGTATCTAGGAATAGCCATAGGTTTAGTCCAAACGTTTTCTTCTGCCAACAGAAGGAGCTGCCTTAGACCAGAGACTGAACCCGGGCCTTCTACATGGAGAATATGTACCTTACCACCAAACAGGGCTGTGCATTCATCTTGGCAAGGCATGAACTGAAGGTGAATCTCTCATCCTCACAGACAGCTGAATCAGCTTGAACTCTGACATGGTACAGATCCAAGGAGAGCCAAAACAAAGCAGTCTTAGTCTGAGCCTTTGGATCCCACTTGGAAGGCTATGCATGCTGTTTTTACAAATACATTTGACAACTATTTCCCCCAAGGTGTCCATAAAGGGAAGATACTAGACAAATAAGATGGAAGCAACACCTCTAGCTGGTTTGAGAGAGATACAGGAGGCTGCTTCCATACATTCATCACCTATTTTAGAGTTCCAAGCTTTGACCAGTATAAAAGATATATTTTGTTGAACTGCTGTCCATCTGTCCAGTTCAACTCAGTGCCAGCTTTAATTAATTTACTAAGCATGCCCACCATAATAACACTCTTTGCTGCATCGTATAATATCCGACTAGATGTGACTTACTGTGTCAAGAAATGCCTTATCCTGTATTTCTTCTGAACTTGCTTGAGTTGCTATTGATGATTCAGAAATGACTGCTGTTTCACAAATAGTTTCTCCAGCCTTCAGCATAAAATGCACCAGGAAAAGGATGTTCGGGTAAAGCTGATAGCAGATTTCACAAGCTGCTAGTGCTATGGTACACAATAAAAAACGTTTAATATTTGTCTTATGGTTTCATATTTTGTCCTATTGGTCTTATTATGTTACAGCTATCTTTGGCAGAAGAAGCTTTATCAAAGCATACCCAAAGCATGTTTTTAAATACTGTATGACCCCTTGTGGTTGCAACAAAATCCTACATAAAAGTCTAAAGAGCTTATGCAACCCACACATAAGGATGCTCAAATAAGTCTGCTTTACTTTCTCTAACACAATTTTTCAAGTTCATTCCACCCTCCTTCTGTATTCATTTGAAAAATGTTCATTAAAGTCCACATCAGAATACATACACGGTTTTATATATTATTTTAATGAATGAGCTTATTTTTCTGATCAAAGAACTGCATCATGAAAAACAGAGGACAGTTGCGTTCCAGCATGCACATTGGCTTGGGAAGTGCTAATTAGGTTGGTTTGTAATTAAATGCAAAACAAATCTAATTTCTCCATTCCTATTCACACATTACAGATGGAGAAGCTTTCTATGACAGCTGTATTCCTGATTAAGTGCAATTAATTCATTTATGGCTTTTAAATAAAAGTATGTTGACAGCTATGAACATGTTAGCTAACAGTGAATTGGAGATCCTTCATATAGAAAATTAGGTGTTCATGTACATTTGCATTTAATGTGGTAGAATGTAATAAGCCAATTATTTTCATGAAAAGAACATTTATACTTATTTTAAATGAAAATGTTGTATACAACAATAAATCTTAAACAGCATTCTAAAATTATAGTTTTTTAACAACATTCTGTCACCAACACCATAAGGGTATTAATATGAAACTGATAGCTCAAACTTGAAACAAACACATGAACAAACAGATTCATTTTAGGGAAATATTGTGAGGACAAGGTTGTACTTTCACTGTAGATTTTCAACATGCATTTTAATGTTTTTTCAGCATTCCTTAAGAAACAGGGAATTTCAGTTTTTAATATTTCTTTTTCTATATATGGGTGTTATGGGTGAGTCTTGTCTAAATGGAAGGAATGCAAATATAATATTACTATTGTGTTTAATTTGTATGACTCCATGTTCTTTGTTCTTCATGAACTTGTGTCTATGACAACCAATAACATTAGCAAAACTGCAATACTACTGCAGTCTTCCCACCACAGTAACAGCCTGCTGAGTCACTGCATACAGCATACACATATGCTGGAAAGGCTGAGGTATGCCAGGAAGGTGTTTGACATTCACTTACTTTATTATAAATACTGATAATGTGGATGAGTAACAACTTTTCTGGTTTTGTCAAGCACTCTGTTTTCCTCTGCAATTACATTACTGGCACACAGCAGCGTGTGCAAGGCACTGAAGGCCCTAAATGATTATATTGTATATCAGAAGTATGCTTGACGGAATCCTCAAAAGGATTTTGCAGTGCCAGATTTTTCTATTTCCTGAAGGAACTTTTTCCTGCTTGAAACACATGCTACACTATGGCCAGGGTGATTCAGGTTAAGCAAATTCCATTTTGATTGATTATATGTACAGCCCATCATCCTCTTCCTCTGCATTTTATCTGCACAACAACCCCACTGGGTAGGTTAGGCTAAGAATTGGTGACTGGACAAAAGCCATGCACTAAGCTTCAGAGCAAACTAGGAACTAATACTCCAAACACTACACCACACTCACTGTCAGAGGATTGGATCTGTTTCTCTCAATAAAACCATGATTTGAATACTCAATCATGTTACTTATAATTAAAAGTCTATCAACAGCAGTGAATCTCTTCCAAATCACTGAAGAGACAGTACTGTAGTGGGAATAGTTTTCCAATATTTTTCTGGTCAGTATTTATTCCTAAAGTTTGGTTATGGTTCATGCTCCACTCCCCTGACAAATGTAAACATGAAGAAACTCAGACTTACTTTAGACATTTTACAACTCCCATAACAGAAGAGGATAAAACAATAACAGCCAAGCAATGCTGAGATTCCTTGGCATTTTTGCCACCATATTTTTATTTAGTTATTTTTATTAGTACTGCTTATAAACCACCTAATTTAACAAAATCTCTAACCAGTCATAAATAAATATTAGCATTACATTCAAGTACTCTATTAGAAACAATTTCAACTGCAACAATACTACATACCATTGTTAAAAACGATGCATAACAGTTCAAGGAACCTTAAGATGATGCAGCTTATGATTAACAGCAATTACAAGCCAGAAAAAGCCTGGGTGAACAAGGGCATTTTTAAGGATGCGTTTGCAACATATCACTTTTTCTGCCTTCCAAACTGTATGTGGGAGGGTTTTCCTCAGGATGGGTCAAGAAGCCCTACCTTTATGATATTACATGATAAAATCCTCCTGGACCACTGAAAATTGGTAAAATTCCAGTGTTTTATAGGCAGGATTTAACCCAGTGCCTATATTTTTACTGGTGAATGCCATCTATCTTTAGACAAAAACTGGTGAGCACAAGGTTCCAATGCATCAAAATAATGGTTTCATTCACCTACTTGACCATTTGTTGTCTAATTTTCAAGACTGCTATGTACTGAAGAATAGATGGATTGAATAAAAAGTAAATAGCAGTCCAATAACTATTCTTTTGTTAAAGTTCAGAACATCTTTCCTTTTATGTATACTTCTGTTTGATGAACAATTTCTCATTCTTTATGATAAAGATGCTGCACTCCAGGTTGTATGAACTGTTTCAATAGGAATATTAAGAACTGTTCCTTTGATCTATGAACGGTTACCTATTCAATAAAATGTTAGTCTGTACACTGTTTCTTTTCTGGATAAGCAATAGATAAAAATAAAGCTCCCAATTCATTAATTGTTTATCACACACACACACACACACACACTTTCTTTATCTTTTTCTCATCCACAAAAAGAAAAAAAGTGAAAGCTTGGCTGAGTGCATACCTCCCCAACTGTCTGGATATCTTTAAGTGAGGGGGGATACACATTTATGGAGGTCAAGATTATAAATGCATGCTAGTCATGATGGCTATATATGTTCTTCAATATCGGAGACAGCATTCTATTGGGCTTGTGGACTTTCCATAGGTCTCTGGACACTGTGAAAAGAGAATGGTAGGATAGACTGCCCTTCAGTCTGATCCATCAGAGCTCCTGTTATGTTCTTATCTGGACTTTGAGAACCCTGGGTGTGAGCTCCCACAATTAGAGGATTCCTCATGTAACTCTCCAGGTGTTTGATAAAAAAAGATGCCTTTCTCCTGAGAACCAGGAAACAAGTAACTTTTTCCTCAATCAAGCTGAAAGCTGCAGGAGAGGCATGATAGTTCCCCCTCATGAGCTGTAGAGTAGTTCTGAAGTATGAACTTTACTTTGGCAATGCAACTCAAGGAAATTATGCAGCATGCTCTTAATTATGTCCCTGTAGAAATTAGTTTTGGAAAGAATGCTACATTACATTTTATTTGCTTTATACCTCTCAATTATTCTAAAATAAATGCTCCATTAAATACATTGTTTCTGACCTGGCCTGGAATCAGCATCCAGCAGAATAGGCCATTATTATAGCTACCGTTGATCTTAATGTATTTTATTATAAATGACCAAGAGACCCCTCTGGGCTATGGGGGAGTCTATAAATATTATAAATAAATAAAGATCTACCTTTTAAGCCAGTATGAAGCCTGGATTTATTTTCTTCAGAAAAGTTTCCACAACCAAAGAAATATAATAGAAGAAGTCTTAAAAAGACCAAAAAACCAAGCTGTCAAAAAGAAACACAAAGATGTTTTCTTGGTATTATTATTCTTTTCCATTCACTTCCTGCTACCTTCTTTTGTAACCATTTTCAAAACTTTTAAAAAATATTTTTGCTAATGTTGCTTGTTCAAGAGTCAGGGATTGTGAGTGAAGTTCTCTATTCATATCCATGTCCTGAAGACCAATTCTATGCTACATTATTCCTAAAATCTACTTCTAGTTACCTGGTAACATGCCATTTGGAAGTACCAAATACCTCTTCCACCTGTTTAAAATACTGATTCTCTATAGAGCAGGCCCAAGACACTTTGCTGGCTATGGTAGAACAGCATATGCGTCCTCCTGCAGGTCATGATTCATAGAACTCAGGGCTGGGCAGGCTTTTTTGGAACCAAAGCCAGCAAACCGTAAGGGTCTGCCAGTAAAATCAGAATTCTGACATGTTAAATAGCTATTTGCTTCCCTTTAGGGAAACTAACTGAGGAAGCTGCCTCAACTCTGCCTAATGGCATGCCCAGACCTGATTGTCCAAATGTTTTAGAAAATGGCCTTCAAGATATGGACTTTCTTCACTGTTGTCTTCCTCTGCTCTAATGTGAGATGACTCCATTCATTGTCATTGCCATTGTCAAGGAGCAATTCAACAGTAAGTTAGAACTAAAAACACACACACAGTCTCATTCTGAAAATTGAATATTTACACTGCATGTTCATCAAAATGCATTATGAAAGCTAAAAGTCCTGACTGGGTGTGGAGGGGCAGGTAAGGATGGAGGTGGAAAACAGAAGCAGTATTGCCGGTTAACTGCGGTTAAATGTGTTTGAAGAGATAAGAAGCAAAAAATAGCAGAGGTAGAATGAAGCTTTGTGGGGAATCAAGTCAAGTTAAACTATAAGTAGGACACCCCACTGTGGTGCAAAATTTGCTTGAACCTAGGATCCAGGTCAAAGCATAAACCTACGCATATATTGCAATTTACCTCCTCCAAGGTCCTCCTCTGAGGAAAGTTTAAAAGGTGGCAACAAAGGAGAAGACCTACTCAGTCATGTTTCCCCAACTATGGAACATCCTTCCCAGTGACATTTCCTTGGCACCAACACTGTCATCTTTTTAATGCCAGGTTAAGACTCTCTCTGCCCCCAACTGATACCACAGTTTTAATAGGACCTGGAATGTTTACTGCTGTTTGTATAAAATTGCTGTCTATTTTTGTATGGAAATCATTTTATATTATGTTACTATATTGTAATTTTAGGGAGTTAATCTTTGTAAATTGCCCAGAGAGTGCTGGCTATCAGGAGGTATAAATATGTAAAAAAATAAATGAATAAAATTGAGCAACTTTATAGGACTGGATGGACCATTTTGGTGCATTCTGCTTGATCCTCATTGGGTTAAAAATTGCAATGCACTCTCCACTGGAGGTGCTGCCCTGCTTTTATGCTGGTGCAAGGTGTAGAGTGCCTTCACTGCCAAAATCCCCAAGAGGCAAATCAGAGTGCCTTCATTTTGGTGAAGAAAAGGCAGTGATTGGGGCTTTCCTGCCAACAAATGACTCCTAGAAACTCTAATAAGCAACCAGGTTAGGAGTGGTGCACTGTATCAGAGTAATAGGAATGCTAAAAAAACAGATAACAAATCATTATAACGATCTCATATAAAATATGTGCTTATCCTAATAATACCCAGGATGCAACTTGTGAGTCAAAATCAATTTTTAAAAATCTTCTGCTTGTTGAATCACAATGTTTTTATTTATTAATGCACTGACCAAGCAAGAGAAAAGGGGTAGGGTAGAGGAACAAATCCAATAATGCATGAGAAAGGTAATTGCCTCTACATAGCCATCATTTTGGAGAAATAAAGTGGCAAAACAAGACAACAGAAGTCTTGGGGAGTATGTTGCAACGTGAGGCATCATAATAATTGGGCCCCTTGGAATAGCAGGAGCAGCTAATGTCGTTGTTCTGCTTTGAAACAGGTCTGAATGGAGCAAAAATTCAATACAAGATATTCTGTTACCATAGAGAATTAAATGATGACCTGTGCACAGGAACCTGAGCAAAAATATGGATGTCTTTGCAGGACAGATACAGCAATGTATCCATTCATGGTGGCACAGATCTGTAAAGAGCCACTTGCCTGGCTGTCTGTGATAAGGAAGCATTACTTCTAGAAGGCTAGGCAGAAATGTCTTTAAAAGCTAGAAGACATTTGGTTTTTTCACTTTCTGGCCATTGATACACAAAAATTATTATTACTAGCATAACTATGAATGCTTTCATATTGAGAGCGCCTGGCACTACCAACCAAAAGACATTTTGCAGTTATTTTCGTCTTCTCTTTTCCTTTCCTTTCCTTTCTTTTTCCTCCCCCCCCCCTTTTTTTTGGCAAATAAAAATGAAAAAAGTCATGGGGAAACATAGGAGAATTACAAGATGAAGATAATTGTTTGTTCTCTTGTGCCCCTAAAGTTCCATGAATAAGGCAAGGCCATTTCAAAGCCTTATTTGAAAGAACATTGTGTTTGGACAGATAGGATAGTGATTTTTGTGGACTAGTGACTTTTGTCAATAGATTTGCAAGGCTAATGATGGGCGAGAACTTTTTTATCCGTGTTCACACTGCTGTTAAAAAGTATGCCTCCTTCATGCTCTCATCCAGAGGTAATTTTTACTTGCAACTTGAGGAAAAGGCCAATGCTGCCATGGTGATTCTAATGCCTGTTAGCTTACACTTGAGTAACTTGCATCCAGGCAAGAGAAGAACTAGACGGGGGTACTGAATGCAGGTGCAGTTGTCTTACCCCTTGTAATGGCCCAGTGTATGAGTATGAGCTACAGCAGGATCCCCAGCCTGCAGCCTCCAAGTTCTTGCTGTGTGACCCTCCACCCTGCTTGTTCACTGCTATCACCCTCAAGGCATTTTCCCTCAGACCCGCACCTCCAATGAGACCATCTACTGCTGTTTTGCCTGTCCCTTTCTTACAAAACACACAACAGCAACACCATTTCTTCTGGTCTCCTGAGTTCCCTCTGTCAGCCTGTTCTTGGTCTTATCCTTCATACTAGCATTCTGACCATTCCGGGTGCTTTGCCAGCCAGTAGAGCTCAGGTACCGCTCGGCTTTTTCACTCCCCCTCTCCATGTGTTACCATGTTAAAGGCTATATATGTGTGAAAGGAAGATAAAGCAACTGTGTGGATGACTACAGGAGATGTCTGGCCTGCTTTTACCAAAAAAAAAAATAAAAGTAGGAAGAGGAGAGTAAAAGGCCCGGCATTTTTGCAAAAAAGATGCAAAGTGTTTTGCATACTGAACATATCTAGAGGCTCCACCCATCAAGACTCTGCCAAGGTTACTAGTGAGGTTGCTGCTTCAGGTAAAAAAAGCATTCTTCCCTCCTCAACAAGAGTTGGTTGCTCTCACGTTTTGCCTTGCCCGCTTTTGCCTCTCCTCTCCAACCCACTCCAGTAGGAGTCTTCTCATGCATCCGTGATTGCAGGAACCGGTGAGCGGCCCCTTGGATTGCAAGGGAAGGAGTACTCTTAGCAGGAAAGCTTATGGGATTCCCTTCCCCCCGGCTGCCATTTTGCATGACTGAGGCTTGGCTGGCAGGCAGTGGTGTTTATGTGCATCCTGTGGAAGGCTGCTCTTTCATTCACTCTTTCCCTCTCTACCTGCCCATTTTTGGAGAACAACACTTTTAGAAGTATTAGTACATGTAGATTTAAACCTCAAGGCAGTGTGACTATTAAGAAATAAATCTCATAGTACTCAATGTACTTAGGATTGCAACTCTGCCATCTGGTAGATCAGATTCATAATCCATTTTAAAAAAAATCTTCCTTGCCTGTGCATAGTGCCCAATATTCCTGAGAACTGTAGAGGCAGAGGTCTCTTCTATTCTTTTCATGGTCAAAATGAAAATCTTCTGCTAACAGCAGCCAGAGTGGGATGGATTTGATGGGAAAGGGAAGAGTTAGACTCCTAAAATTATACTTCTCATATTTTTATTTATTCAAGGATAATATTGAAACTCTGCAACTGTTTTGAGTTTCAAATCAAAACTCCATACAGTATCAGAAAGTATTTCTTGACTTTTTCCTCCATGATGTCTGCAAAAGCAAGCACTATGTCAAAGAAATGAAAATTGCAGATGAGTACAGTGTCTTTAATGGAAAATGGACTACTGAGAACCTCTTTGTTTTAAGCAAGGAAAAAGCAGTTTGCTTGATATGTCTTGAAACTGTCTCTATTAAAGGAGTACAATGTTAAAAGACACTTTGCATCCTGTCACAAGCGCTACTCAATATAACAAGGAGAGGTGCAAGTGCAAGATAAATTATCTTTAAAAGTCAATGTTTTGGCAGCAAAATAGTTTTAGTAAGCATGTTGAGGAAAACCTGTCAACTGTGAGGGCCAGCTATCATGTTGCTAAATGTATTCCTGAGAGTGGTAAGCCATTCACTGATGGTGAATTTGTTAAGTGCATTCTTAAAGTAATGGAGGAAATGTGCCCTGATAAGGTATCTTGTGTTAATTGTGCCCATTTATCTGCATCTACAATCACCAGGTGTGTTGAAGAACTAGGAGAAGAGCTGCATATGCCACTGGTTGTCAAGGCAAAAAGATTTGACCCCCTCCCCCTTTTTTTGCATTAGATGAAAGTATTGACATTGTAGACACTGCTCAACCACTAATACTTATCAGGGGGATGGATTCCAAATTACAGATGAATTGAGTGCATTACAGAGTTTGCACTACACTGCAGAAAATATATTCCTGAAAGTGTGTGAATCTGTTGAAAATTCTGGTCTAAGTTGGGATAAACTGAAAAGCATCACAACTGATAGTGCAAGAAATATGTGGGAAGAAAAATTGGTGTAGTTGAAGGGATATTGAAAATTAATGGTATACCTCCCATGCAATTTTACTGCATCATTCACCAGCAAGCCTTGTGTAGTAAAATTATTCAGTGGAAAAGTGTGATGAGTTCCAGCATTACTTACACCAGGCATCATGGCCTTACTCATCATCAGTTTCAAAATTTTCTCTCTGAAATAGATGCAGAATATGGAGATGTATTGTACCATGCAGGAATCAGGGGGCTTAGCAGAGGCAGTCCTCAAACATTTTTTTTTTTTTTTTTTTTTTGTTTTGCTGTGAAGTTGATGTCTTTCTCAGAGAGAAAGGGAAAGGTCAAGAAGTACTTTCCGAAACTGAGTTTTGATTTGACTTTCTTAACTGATATCACAGAGCATCTCAACACATTGAATCTAAGGTTGCAGGGAAAAGGAAAGCTTGCGTGTGATGTATATTCTGAATTTAAAGCTTTTGAAGCAAAACAACATTTTTTAAAGCAAGGTAGTGAAAGTAACATTTCAAACTTCTCATACTGCAATGAACTAAAATTTGAGAAGGACAGGAATTTGCAATTCAGTGTTGAAAGACACATCAAAGCACTGAACCTATCTCAGGTGGAATTCCAGAACAGAGTCAATAAACATGGAAATGAAATAAGAATGTTTCTGTATTCATTTGAACTAGCACCAGAAGATGCAAGTAACTTTTTCCTGATAGAACTAATTTATTTAAAACTAGTGGTCATCTCAGAGGCATTTACAAAGAAAATGGTCTGTCAGCTTTCTATTGTGGTCTACCTGAAAGACCACAACCTAAAGAAATTTGCTGCAGGCATGTTCACTGTCTTTGGCACCACATACACTGTGAATAAACTTTTTCCAAGATGTAAATTGTGAAATGCAAGTGTAGGTCAAGACTAACAGATGAACATTTACATGACACTTTAAAGGTGTCTGTCACAAACCTTCACCTGGACATTAATGCCTTGGCTAACAGAAAAAAGCCACAAAAAATCACACTGACTAGGTAAGCATATATAGCTAGATAAAAGGATCCCACAGTAAAATATTGTTCCAAAATGGATTGCATTCAAGTTAACATTTCTTTATTGACCTCTGAATTTTTACTTTGCTCTAAATTGGTAGGTTAATAATTTTGTTGCATTTTGACTCTAATGCAACCCCCATGTCCCAGAAGGTTGAGGACCACTGTGCTACAATGTGCTCTACTTATGTACACAAACTGGGGAAGTGAATAGCAGGGATCTTCTGGAATAGGAATGTATTATGTACATAAAGCATAAGTAAAACAAAGCGCTCATTGGCTTGAATGAGAATATCATTTCTAAACAAAATGTTTCTAGAGTTGTTAATAAGCAAATCCCAGGGTTCTCCATTCTCAACAGATTTTAGCAGGAATTTGTCCCAATCAAATAAAAATGTGTTGTTTAAAAGGGCACTATGAATAGTAAGAGAAAGGTACACGACTGAATTTCAGGGCTAAACCATTAAACAACGATGTGCCAGTCAGTTCTTCAATTATCCTGCAGGTCTTATTCAGCTTTCAGAAGTAAATTCTTTCATTTGGAGACTCTCATTTACATGGCTTCAATTTCATCCTCTTTCTTGAACACATAAATTCCTTGCTACTACTTTAAGATTATGTGACCTAACATAATACGTCTTAGTTAATAATAATCCATATGGGAGAATAAAGAGGTCACATCATTTAAATAGTGACAAGCACATTATGCAAGATAATCACTGAAATTACTAGCTTGCCATATGCATTGAGAACCAACCCATACCCCTTTTATACATGTTTTAGAGCATCTCATTAAAGAATCACTTGAAAGTGAAAACTGTATTTCACAAAATATTTCTTTATGGACTATTCATAACCAATGAATTTGGGAAGATAGAAATTCAAGATAGAACAAGCTATAAAGTATGAAATGAAAAAGTGTACTGCTTTTACTTGAACATGCTGGTGAGATTCGTTTTCTCCTTTATATAACCTGGACAGTGCAAATGACAGACTCCATAATTAACTTTCTTAGCAAAGGTTTAGAATTTTAGTACAAGTATAATATCAGGTTTGTACAGGTTTTAATTATACAGCTTTGCACGATGTAAATCACCATCAGTGCTATAGTGCCATGCAACTATGGTTCTGATAAATGAAGTATTTAATTTTTAAAAATATATATTGAAAATATGTCTTTTCAGCTATACATCATTTATGACGGTGTATGACATTAAATTAAAAATAAAATGCAAAGATCAATGTAAATATAATTTTCCACGTAGAGAAAAGCTAAAAGACCAGGAAAAACATTGAGGTCTTCACTTATAATCTAAGCTGGATGGGGTTTACTCTAGTGAACTTTCCACAGGGACAATGTGTCGGAGTGCCTGCTCCGACAATCGGCGCGAGAGAGTTCAGAGAGAGAAATAAAACACTGCAGACGAGAGATAAAGTTTCAAAGCATGCTCGGTTGAGTACTCTGGAGAACAAAGAAGTTCTTCTTTAGGAATTTTTCCTAAAATGTCCTCTTAAAGATGTCCTCTTAAAGATGTCCTCTCTTCCTCACCACCGGCAGCCCCTTTTTATTAATTCACAGATTGTTACATTTGTATTTGCCTACACCAATCGCCATCGAGTTAATCAGCCAACTCCCTAATCATTGTGCGCAAGCGCAGGATTCAAAATGCTTACTGATTGCTTATGCGCAGGCGCAGGAAACAGGAAGCGTACTTATTGCTATATATGGTCACAAGCCTTATATGGTTACACAGGTGAAGTACAATGCTATTGGCTGGGTAAGTTGCAATACTATTGGCTGGTAAATTACAATACTATTGGCTGAGCGTAGCATGCCTAGCTACAGCATGAATGTGGCGAGGCAGGGATGAATTCCCACAACAATGTACCATAGCTCCATTTCCACAATGGAGAAGTCTTCCCTTGCATGATTTTACATGCAACTTCAACAAGGGAGCAAATACTTGCCTGCTGTAAGATCACTGTAAAGGGATATTGATATGCAGAGTCTGTTGTGCAGCAGAATATTAAGCACTTGTGCATGGAAACAATATGTAATTTTCATATTATTCTTAAAAATACAACATACCTTGGACAACTTGATTTCACATGAGAATAGGTATGGCTTCTCTACTGCATCGTAGCAGAGTTTGTACAAAACCGATTCTGCGATGAAAAATAAAACTGGGATCTGCTCTGGAAGAACAGGTGCATGGTCCAAGGAAATTGCCAGAACTTCAAAAGCTTCTGAAGAGAAAATAATAATAATAACAGGAAAAAAATAAAAAAAGAGCTCCCTCTACAGAGCCTCAATATTTTATACAGTATTTGGATCACACCTGCAACACAGAGCTTGCCAAGATATGAACAAATAAAGCAAGAGCTACAGCAATATCCCCCAGATTGTTTGCCTTTTCTGATTATCACTTTGATGAAAAAGTAATTAAAGCTCTTCTCTTTCATAATTTTGTTCAATAGTTGCTGAAATGTTTCTGCTAGACTATGAATTAAATCCTATTCCACAATAAAGATATCTAAATTAATAAAATAAAACAGGCTACCATACATGTGCAATGTACACTGATTATTGCAGTAATCTGTAACATTTGTTCCCCTGGCAGCTTCTGCTTAGTAAACTGATGGTTCTAGTTTTCATATTGCTACTTAAATAGTGAGGATGGATATATAAAGGAGCTTCTCTGACTTGTACTCCCCACCCTTAAAAATAGAATCAGAACTCTTCATATGTACCCAACTGACAAAATGCATGTATGCCCAAAGAAGTTTAATTTAAACCACTATGAAAAGTGGTTTTTAAAGCCCTAGGGATTTGGGATGGGATGGAAATTAGATAATTCCACTTCTTTGTGAATACAGTCTCCCATTGTGACTTAAATCTGAAGCCTCAAAATGCTGCTACACACAACGCTGTATCTGCAATTTCGGGTTAAAAGAATATTAAAAGATGTTCATCTGTGTAATTTGCCAAGAAGACTGCAATACACCCAGTCCCCCACTTATGAATGTCCAAGTTAAGAACAATGCTCACTTACAGAAGTACTGCCTCATCTTTGAGCAGTAAGCTGGTGTGCGCAGGGAGCAAGCACTGGGAAGTGAGGAAAGGAAGAGAAGAATTGGGAGGGAGGGAAAGTGAAGAAAGAGGTAAAGAGAAGGAGGAGGGGAAAAGCAGCAAAGTCGAAACTAGTTCCACAGTGGCAGCAGAACTACAATAGTTTTCACGCTCATGAAAAACTATGAGCCAATGTGTTTCAGATCACATGGAGTTAGCGTTGCCTTTTGTAACTTTGTTTTGTATTTGCTTTGTAACCGTGCCTCCAAAGCATAAATCCAAAGTCCCCTTCCTTCAGCAGCACAATCAAACCCTGATTCTCCAGCATCAGGTCCATCCCTTGTTACATCAGTCCAATCTCCATCATCATCCAGATAATGTTAGACTTCATGTTAGCTCAGGAAGTGTTAACCTTTGATAATCTTTTTACTATTTTTATATCTGTCTAAACTGTTTTAAGAACTGTACTCTATACCTATAAACTTACTTTATTATTAGTCTACTATTAACATTATTAAAATGCTGTATTGTGTTTTAAGATGTTTCAGTGTATATGGAAGTGTTTCTTAAGTGTTTTATGTGCTTTTATTATATGCAATCCAACTTACATACAAATTCGACTTAAAGATAATTTCAGGAATGGAACTCATTCTTAACCCAGGGACTGGGTTTACTTTTAACAGGAAGTTGTTTTGCCTTTTGGGAATGCAGCCTAATGTATTCTAGACAGGGATAACCTTGATTAAAGTGGTTTCTTTTTTTCCTCAGCACTTCTCAAAATGGTTCTTGGCTGAGCTGTTACCATGAATACAGACACAGAATTTGCCTGGTGCCTCTGTCAGTGGCTGTCCTAAGTAGGCCATTTCCCATTTCTCCTTACAGGCTAAGGCAGCAGTGTTTGTGCCATTGATCTGTGTGAAGAAGGGCTTTAAACAGTTCAGGAAAAAGCCAAAGAAATTATAGGGATACTTAAACTAAGTCTGCATCTCCACAAAATGCTAACTAAATAGCAGTGATATAATTATTAATAGACTAGCATAATTTATTTTTATGGCACGTATTTGTTAAATGAATTTCACAATCCTATCAAAAGCAGACAATTCCACCAAATTAAGAAAAAATGTTGAAGTATGTATGTAGTGTTTGTTGTTGTTTTACAAGCAACACATTTGTCCCAGGAGTAACTGGCTGACTCTTCCAGGAAAGTCAACCATACAATACACAAAGACAGTTTTAATCTGACCACAACTTCATTGGTTACAGTTTAGAAGCTGTCGGGGCAAATGGAAGGATCCCTTCATCAGGCAACCTGAGTGCTGTCTGACCCTCACCCCAAGCTACATACTGCATGGCCCTTCAATGAAGGGAGGCTTCACCAGAGCGCAAGATCCTGCCATGGTGTGTACTGCTTGCATGTCTCCTTGCTCCCCGCTTCTTCCCCAAGAAGATCCTGCTCACCCCACCCCCCAACCTTGTTAGAGAGGGGTTGATTTGGATCCGATTCAATGCCATCCACCTAAATAATTGTGATAATTCTATTCAGTCATTTACTTTCCACCAACTTACATTGGTGCAAGAGAAGCAAAAAACTGTGAGGCAGGCCAACCAGCCTTGCCAGGTCAAATTCCTTCCCAGCCTCACCAGTTGGTTGCTGATTGGTGTCCACAGCAATGTACCCATGTTTAAAGGGTGGATGGATCGGGCAAATCTTTAGTAGTCAGCACCGGGAGAGATGCTGAGCAAGCCTGTAGCTACTTTTAAGTAGCTGTAACACAGACTGGTGGGGAGCCTCCCCACACTTGCTCCCAGCCCCTCCACAGCAGCCCATCACACCTGCCCAGGCCAAGGCAAAATGCCCTTGCAGGAAACTGTCTAAGCAAAGCCAGGACCACTTCTCCTTCCTACCACAGGCTCCCAAGCTGCAGCACAAACCAGAAGCACAGCGGAAGCCAAGGAATCAAGCATACAGATGACAGATTTTGTTGTTGCTGTTAAACAGGGGGTTAGAACCCCTTGATAATCCCCTTGTATAGCACCCAGAGATCTGATCTGCCTTCTGCTCAGCCCTGGGATAGGTACTTAGCAGATAAATAGCAGGAAAAAAAGAACAACTTTTGATACTTTAAAAGCCATGCATTTTAAAAGCTTCAGTTTTTATTTGGTGCACTCCACTGTGTTCTAAGAGCGGACAGATAAAATCATTTCAAGTTCATTATTTCAGGTATGTGACAAATATAAATGCAAATTAAGTTCAGGAATATGAGCATTGTTAGCATTGTTTAGTAAGAATATTAACTGGCAAGGAGACTTGGATAATTTTCAAAAACTCAAAATGTATGGTTTCTCTAAAATGTGTGATTTCAACTCTCATAATAAATTAATATAATTATTACAAATGTCCAGGCAGTTCACTACCTTCCTAACAGTAATTGCTCATAACATACAAGAAGAAATGAGAAGGTATGTGTTCTTACCATTAATACAATTTGAACAACTTACTGAAAAAAGTCACAACACAAAAGGCTTTTTAAAAATTACATGTTTGAAATGTAATGAGAAATTGTCTAGTTTCTTGGATCCTAACTACGCTTCCACACATAGAGCTCCTTCTGTTCATAAACAGAACTGAGATCCAGCAAATAATCTGCTGGCAGAAAGGAGAGCAGGCCGCTTTTCCTGGTTCCCATGTCCTTGGGACCATTTCAGGGGGCTCCATTTTTCAAAAAGTACCAGAAGATGCACTGGGAAAGGGGAAATTAGTACAAGCAACTTCCTCTCCTTCCTCAAGGGCAAACTCCATTCAGGGGACGTTTCCATCAGTGAGAACACTCAGCATCCCAGGCAAATGTTATTTCCAAAGAAAACTGTAACCTAATAACCAACCAAACCACAAACAGAGAAATAGTTATACTACATTTTAATAAATATTGAATATAGAGTTGGGTTTTGGACCTGAGACTGACATTGTGTGTGATTTTCTGCACTAAATGGATATTATACTGTCCTGGTATTTTTCTTGGCATTTAAAACTTCAATAGAGCTCTGGGGAACCTATGGCTCTCCAGGTATTTTTGGACATCAAATCCCATCTAGCCAGCCAGCATGGTCAGGGATGATGTGACCCAGCAATGTCTGCAGGTTGACAGTTGAATTATACGAGTGTTATTTAGAAATTTTTAATGAATCTCTATACCCAAAAATACAACATATCCATCAGGCAAAATATGGCTTTATGCTTAAGCAAGAATAACATTATACATTCTAGAATGTAACTTATTTGTGAGAATTAAATTTATCCAATGGAATAAAACTATGTGAAATGAACTGAATTAGGGAAGGAACTGAAAATAAAACTGCCAAGATTGAACTCCCTTTATTCATATCTATGGTACAGTTATGAGAAAAACTATTCCAGGTCAATCTTTTATAGAAACAAGCTAGGGTCATGGTGGCCTGGATTTGTTTCTATGGCTACAAATTGGATTCATAGGTGTGGATATTTATGATGACTCCCTAGAACATCCTGTCTAAAATCAAACTGCCCCTCTAGCATATCTTAAAAGTTAGAGTATGAAAGAAAAAACACTGCTGCTCCTATTTCTGGCCCATATTCAAAGGTGCAAGGGGAAAATGGGTAGGAGAGTTAACTAACTAACCCAAATAACTTCTTTGAATCTGTTCTCATAGCTGGACTTACACAACAAGAAATTTAGAAATAGATGAAGCTGATGGACTGAAATTCTAATAAATTCAAATGTTACTGTGTACAATGGAGGGGCAAACTTCACTTTTATAAGCTGATTATTCATTAAAATGGTGAATACTAATCAATATGCAATTGTTGCTGGTGGATTTCAAAGGCCAGCTTCCTGTATTCTACTTTAAGGTAGAATTACTAGCATTACTAGAATTACAAATTACTAGCAATGGAATAGTAGGTTCAGGAGAAGGGCATCAAAACGCAAATATGATTCTGTCCAAGCAAGTGTGAAGTGATACATGTTGGAGTAAAAATCCCAACTTCACACATAGATTGATTGTATCCAAGCTAGCAATGTCTGACCAAGAAAGAGATCTTGCAGTTGTGGTGGTCTGTTTGATGAAAATGCCTATGTATGAGTAGTGTGCAGCTGCATTAAGAAAGGTAAGTTTATTTATTTAAAACATTTCTATGCCA